GCCACAACTAGAAGGACCCACAACTAGAAATACACAGCTATGTACCTGGGGGTTTTGGGAGAAAAAGGAAAAATAAAATCTATAAAAAAAAATAATAATCAAATCTCTGTTTTCTAAAGTCTGTGTAGTCAGAAGAAGAAATGTGAATTTGAAGCTGTTTTCTGGACAAGCAGAAGTTTCTCTTTTTCAGTCTTATGAAATGGATGAATTTAGGGTCAAGGAAGTAATATTTCAGATGAGACCTTTAAAAATGTAGGCATGGCCTGTTCTGTGTGAGCCTTCAAGTGCCTATTGGAATTTCCTAATAAATGGAATTCTTTGCCATCTCAGACAACTGAGTAATATTACTGTAGAGAAAATTCATCTCTCTTTTCTCTCTCACACATGCACACACATATGTAATTAGGTTTGGTCTTTAATCCCCTGTAACTGATGTGGGCTCGGCGAGCCAAGGAGTTGAAAGAAAGATTTCTTGGACTCTCAAGGTCTGGTGGTAGTGCTCTTTTATTCAGAGAATAGTATGGGGACAGGACCCATGGGCAGTAAAGAGCTGCAGGCATGGGGACAGGACCCATGGGCAGTGAAGAGCTGCCAGCATGGGGACAGAACCCATGGGCAGTAAGAGCTGCCAGCATGGGGACAGAACCCATGGGCAGTAAGAGCTGCAGGCATGGGGACACAACCCATGGGCAGTGAAGAGCTGCCAGCATGGGGACAGAACCCATGGGCAGTAAGAGCTGCAGCATGGGGACAGGACCCATGGGCAGTAAGAGCTGCAGGCATGGGGACAGGACCCAGGGGCAGTGAAGGGCTGCAGGCATGGGGACAGGACCCATGGGCAGTAAGAGCTGCAGTGTGTTGAGAGTTAGGGATAAATTTAGAAGGCATGGGTACGTGAATTATTTTTACTAGACAAAGGAATGATGATGTAAAAAGTCATTAAAATGGTATCAGTGCAGGTGGGGTCTGGTTATTGTGTGGCCGTATAACTTTGATATGCCTCAGGTCATATAGATGAGCATGTAGGCCAGGATACCTTGGACTTCTCTCTCTGGGTCTCTGGGGCAACCTTGATCCACATCATAGCCATGTGAATTTTATATAATGAAGTTCCTTGGTTTGTGCTTAAAAAAATCACATTCCCAGATTTCTCCCTAATGCCCATAAAAGTGACCCTGCCTTGCAGTGTCTTTCCAAAGTTGAAAAACACCCCAAGCGCATTCATTACTTTGGTGGAAAAAACGTTTACATGAACACGTAGGCAATCATGATTGTTGTCATCTTTGTGTTTTTCATTATGTCACTGGGTTTAACCAGCATGATCTTTTGGTTAGCCCAGCTTCCCCAGTTGTCACTGAATGTGAACTCATAGGTGTGCACGGTGCCCAGTGGGGCGCCCAGTGCTCTGCCAGTCCCCATGCCCAGCAGGTGCCCCATCGATCACAGCACAGGAGACTATGGGAGCCCACAACCACTCTTGTGGTCCAGACGGGGGCAGGACCCCCAGAGCCCACCACAGCCTGACCCTCACTCCTCTCACAGATGCCTTAGGAATAATCATGGCGGCGTGGCAGAGGCAGTTTCTGGCTCTAGCTCTGCTCACCACTAGACTATGAGAGGTTAAGCTCATTAACCACTCCAAAGTCATTCTGTCATCCCTAAAGTGAAAAAGTTTCCACTAGATTAACCGTACAGATCCTTCCAATTGTAAAATTCTATGACACAGTATTGAACTCAAAAGAGAAAATGATGAGTGGATGTTTCATAATGAAAATAAACTAAGGACCTGCACAGTGCTTGCTTAGTATTGAGTGGGTCTGTGGCGCTGTAGCACGAGCATTTCAGGTTATGACTGGGGAGAGAAAACCTTCTGTACCAGTTTGCTCCTTTGAGCACGAGTCCGGCATCCAACGCCTGTGTGCCATGTTTAACAAGCGAACACAAAAAAGTTTTAAAAAAATCATTACTGCTCATGAAAAAGAACCTCAACAACACTTCCCTGGAGGCCACTGTCGAGAGGGGAGGAGAGGGGGAGGGAATGACTGCGTTTCACATTTAAAATAGATGACAGCCTGCTCTTAAGTAAAATTTTTTAAATTTTGTTTAGTGATACAATCGCTTTAACATTTTCCCTAGGGCTTTGTGTCCTATTTTAGTAACAAAAGATCAGCTCTTTCCAAAGATGCCCCTAAAATCAGCTTTCAAAAGAAATGAAAGAAGCTTGTAAAACACCAGGAGGGAAGAGGAGAAGAGCCTGCCATATAAGGTGCTAGGAACCTCATTTGAAAAGTAATTTCATGTGTTAGGGAGATAATTCTCCCTTTGTCTGTGTGACAGTTTAACAAGAATCTAACAGATTTATCAACAACTCAAACAGCTTACAATAGCCATGGGGAGTGTTGGCAATTTAGGTGCATTTGAGAAGATGTGAATATTTGGGGTGCATTTTTTCTTGGCATTCTTGAGAAAACCATGGTATTCTCTCACTTTGGAGACCTGCCAGTGTGAGGGCTTTCAAGTATCTGTTTAGTGAAATTCAATCTTTGACTTACCATTTACAAATTACCTACTTGGCATGAAATAATGTTGAGGCTGTTTGTGGACAGATGACCAGCACCAGCATAAAACAGGGTGATGACAGGAGCAGCTGCAGATTTTGACGTAAATCACTGGGTGGGTTTCACAGAAACAGAAGTATAAGATCTGTAAATTGGTACAGCCACAATGGAAAACAATATGGAGGTTCCTCAAAAAACTAAAAATAGAACTGCCATATGGTCCAGCAATCCCACTTCTGAGTACATAACCAAAAAAAATGACAAGATCCTAAATAAAATATTGAAGAGATATCTGTACTTTCATATTCATTGCACCATTATTCACAATAACTAAGAAATGGAAACAACCTAAGTGTCCATCAATGGCTGAATGGATAAAGAAGATATGAGATACACAGACACACACTGGAATATTATTCAGCCACGAGAAAGGAAATCCTGCCATTTGTGACAACATGGATGGACCTTGAGGGCATTATGCTAAGTGAAATGAGCCAGACACGGAAAGACAAACACTGTGTGTTATCACTTACATGTGAGTCTACATTAAAAAAAGAGAAAGAGAGTGAAAATCAAACTCAGAAACAGAGTAGAAAAGTGGTTGCCAGGAACTAGGGTGGGTGGGAAGGGGGCGGTGAGGGAATTAGCGAGAGGTTGGTAAAGGGTACAAACTTGGAGCTACAAGATTAAAGTCTGAGGGTCTAATGGATAACTTGATGACTATAGTTGATAACTCTGTATTATGTAATTGAAATTTGCTAAAAGAGTAGAACTTAAATGTTCCCACCAAAAAAAAAAAAGATAAATATGTGAGGTGATTAATATGTTAACCAGATGAGTAGAGTCCTTTCATAATGTATATATGTATCAAATCACTACAATATACACTTCAAATATCTTTTAATTTTATATGTCAGTTATATGTCAATAAAGCTGAAATTTAAAAAAGAAATGGACCAATAGATTCAAAGAAATAAGCAGAAAAAAGAAGTAATTTTAAAATCAGTATCTAATCTTCAAATCTCTCTCTTATCCTAGGATATTTTAATAAACCTAATGTTGTCACACAATATAAAGTGTTCCCTGGATCTGGCTGCAGTTGGCACTGCGTTTTCACACAAGTCTCTGAGGGTCTCTGTGCCTGTGGAGTCTTCCTGGCTCCTTATCACTTTTCCCACCTTGAGTCAAATTCATAAAGCGTGGGTTGGTAAAAACACTTTACACATTGTCTCGTGCTCTGCTCCATGCAATAATTGGTCATCCAGGCTTCACTTGACAAATTCGTAAAATAGAGAACCATGTTTTACAAGGCAACGCCATCCATTTTCAGAGAATGTTAATTGTCGTTCTCATTTTTTCTGTCAAACTCTTTCTCTGTTTGTAACTTGTTAATTCTACTTCCGTGTTCTTGAGCCCTGAGTCTTGTTGCAATCAGCTATTGTGTTCCTCCCTATCCGTGTACCCATGTGCTCAACTCTTCCATCCACTGCTCATTTAACACAGAAATGTTGGAAATTATTAACATTTCAAAATCCTGGTTTTTCAGTGCACCTTAGTCTCTTTCATACAGTAGGAGAGCAGTTTTTGATCTTTTCTCCTGATAATAGTTCCTTTCAGTTTCCATCCCACTTGGGATGCTCGCCCTGGTCTGCTTTGCCCCTCTGCTCCCACTGGGTGCCATCCCCGCCTGTAATCAACATCACAGTGTGATAGTGGGGGTTACCAGGCAGGGAGAGCTTCCACTCGCTCCCTCGTCCACTTGATCTACCGGGACCAGCCCGGCCACTCCACCGCTCTCCTGATCATATGCCTACTTTCTGACAGGGCCTGAAGCACCCTCAGAAATGAGAAGTCAAGGAAATATTTTTGTTTGACTGAATTCTAAACATTAGGGCATTTATTTGCTTTGTTTTTCTTAGTTTTATAATACATCGGATGCTCCAGTGGACATTTTTCCCGTGTCTTTGAAATTTAATTAATATTTACCATGTTGAATGGCACCTTTACGAGGACCTCTATTGAAAGGAGAAATTATTAAGTCTGGGATTTGTATTCCATTTTGGATGCTGGCCTGTCACATGGAGTGTATTGTAGTGTACTGGTGTAATATGATCAACAAGATCAATATTCTTGTTAGGTTGTGGTCTTAAAAAAAAACAAACCATTAACACAAATTATAGAGGGAATTATTCTCTGAGATTTCTAAAAATTATTGAAATTTTTATGCTGCAGAGGTATTTGGTTCTGAAAAATAATACTAGGTTGTGTTTTTTTTTACACCCTTGACAAGAGGTCCCAGAGGAAATTGAAATAAGCAATCTCAATGAAAATAAAAATTTCATTACTTTATTAATCAGACAAACAAACAGAAATCTGAGAGTCATTATAACGTGTTCTACGAGGCATATTTTCAGTCCAGTAAAACCAGAATTTTCCCTCTAGTCCTTAGAAAGAAACTGGAAGTTAATCCGAGATGAAGGCCTTGCCGTGATGGATGAAACCAAAGGTCTCTTCCTGCCTGAAGATGAAAACCTGAGGGAGAAGGGTGACTGGAGCCAGTTTACCCTGTGGCAGCAAGGTGAGCTCCTGACTTCTAGATTGTTCTCTGTAGCCTGCTGGGAAGTGGGCACAAAACTTCTGGTGATATTTCCCAGAGCCAGGATTCCCTGACTTAAAGGAAACTGCTTGGAAAACCTACGTTATCAAAATCTATTCATTATTTTTTAAACTACATTTGAACAGTTATTTGTGTATGAGTGTTTGCACACTTATGTAAATATATGTGTGTATGTGTGTGTATACTCACGTGTATATTTGGATAAATATATGTAAATAGTATTTTGATTTGCTGGTCTTTTCTGTTAAACAGCGTGTTACGAAGAGTAGGCATAACTGAAAAGTCCACCATGTGCTTATCAATACCTTAGAAAGGAGATTCCCTGAGCCTCATTTGCTCCTGGAAAATGGAAATGCTGTTGCATGCCAAAATGATGTCACCAAGGGTGAGAGTTGTGGAGATGAGACACCAGAATGACAAGACAATAATAACTAGTGTTGGAGCTCATCAAGAATAGAAAGTGGTTCATATTCAAGCTGATATTCCTTGAGTTGACCCCAGGCCAAGCACATAGACAGTGTTCCAATATGTGTGTGTTCAATGAATTAATATATCAATCTATCCTTAAAATCAGAAGCATCGAATTTTATCTTTAAGGCTCTTTATGTCTCTTCTTGAAAACTTGAGTTAACCTGGGTTAACCATAGTTAAACAAAAGTAAATCCATTTTGAAGACTGAACAGCGTGTGCTGCACTTCTTCAGCTACACAAAATAAATTGAGAGGATGATAAGCAGTCGTTTTACGTTAAAGGACAGATAAGCAGTGTCGTTTATCTCAGTATGCTTTCAGAATGGTTTACACGTAAGAGACAGAAGTAATATTTTCAAGGATACATCCATCAGAAGAGAGATCACATGATTTCAAATGACTCCATCAGCTTTTTGCCAACAATATTTTTGTTTATTTTTATTACATAATAATCATCCATTATGTAATAATGACACTAATGGAGAGGCGGTCTTAGATCATGGTTAAGAACGCAGACTCTGTGTTTAGTTGGGCTGGAAATCCTACTCTGCCACTTCCTGTGTGACCTCTCTGTGCCTCAGTTTCTCTTCTAGAAAATAGAACACTAATAGCACCTCCCTCACCAGGTGTTGTGAGCATCAGATGAGTCACTCTAAGCATGTTGAGTGGTTGCTGGTCCATGTTGAGCACCATGGAACTCTCATTGGATTCTTAAACCCTCATGATCACGTGAATACTTAAAACTACCAATGGCAATTCACAAATGTCAAGCATCTACTACACAGCTTTTTCCCTTACAGACAATCTGTATCTGCAGCCTAGAAGGGATTTATGTGTCTGAATAGCTAGAGGTGCTCTCTAAATCAGTCTTGTTCATGTAGCAATCCTAGTGTCACAATCCATTCGGTTACCCATTCATTACCTATCATTTAGGTAAGACACACCTCTTCTCCATGGGGCATGTGCTCAGCTCTTACCACTGTGCCCATGGGAGCTTGGTTGCTCCTCAGGCCACCAGGCTTCACTTAACTGCTGCCTGCACAGCACAGAACCCGGAAGTGGGGGCTCCTGCCAGGCCATCCCCAGATCCTGCATAAGCTAGGTCTTAAAAATGCTTTATGATGGCCTATACAGGAATCTGTTTGGTCAAATTGACATTTATAATTCAACTCATTTAGGATATTCCATTAATAGCTAAAAACAGCCACTAACATTTTACTCAAGAGGCAAAAAGATTACTTAGGAAAAGCTAACGTAGATATAAAAGTTGTTTTTAAAATATTGAGGTCCGTTTGACTGAGGAGAATACCTTTAAATTACATTCTTTGTAACTCTCATTTTATTCTCAGTATATGATTATCTTAGGACAGAACTAACATCAGTTAAGTAAAATTAAACTCAGCTTTAGTTGTAGCAGTCCCTTGTAGGAATCTGGAATAGGGAATTAAAATGTTTCTGTCTTTTGTTTTTTTTTTTTTAAGGTTGGCACCTGATCTAACATCTGTTGCCAATCTTTTTCTCCTCCTCCTCCACCTCCTCCCCCACCCAAAGCCCCCCAGTACATAGTTGTATATTCTAGTTGTGAGTGCCTCTGGTTGTGCTATGTGGGACACCACCTCAGCATGGCTTGATGAGTAGTGCCGTGTCCACGCCCAGGATCCAAACCAGCGAAACCCTGGGCCACTGAAGCGGAGCATGTGAACTTAACCATTTGGCCACGGAGCTGGCCCCAAAAAGTTTCTGTCTTTTAAAACATGCGTTGTTTTACTCCTTCATGAGAGCAGATGATGCTGTGTATAGTCCTTAGCACATCTTCCCTAAGAAACAGTGATTTTGTAGATGGTGAAGAAATTTGCATGGTCTAAGATGCTAAGACTGTGTCCTAAAATCTGTGTTCCTGACTCAGTCACTCAGAAAACGACATCTCTCTGAGACGTTGTCTCTTCATTTAAATCCTGTTCTTTATCAACATATAAAGAGTAATCTGTACATTGAAAAATACACTAAATTCCAATTAAAAAGACCGTTTAGGTAACTCTTTAATATAGTCTTACAAATGCATTTTTTGGTTAGAAATATAAGCTATTTTCCCTCCTTTGTGCGTGTGTTAGTTTACTGTGGCTGCTGTAACAAATTACTGCAAATTTAGTGGCTTAAAATGACACAGATTTATAACGTTTACAGTTCTGGAGGTCAGAAGTCTACAGTGGTTCTCACTGGGCTAAAATCAGAGTGTCGTCAGGCTGCATTCCTCCTGGAGGCTCCAGCTTCTAGAATCTGTCCACATTCCTTAGCTTTTCCCAGCCCCTTTCCATCTTCAAAGCCAGCAATGGCCAGTCAAGTCTGTCTCATTCTGTATCACTCTGACGCTGACTGTTCCCCTCCCTCTTCCACATTTAAAGACCCTGTGATTACGTTGGGCCCAGCTAGTTAATCCGGGATAATCTCCTTACTTTAAGGTCAGCTGATTAGAAATCTCAATGTCATCTACAAGCTTTATTTCCTCTTGCCATGTCACATAACATATTCATAGGTTCCTGGGCTTATGATATAGATGTCCTTGGGAGCAGGCCTTTATTCTGCCTGCCACAGGGGTGAAAATGAGTATTCAACATGTGCCTTGTCCGTTAGACATCCTTAGTCAAATAGTCCAACACTGAGTGGAGAATTCTGGTCCTTGCTCTGCCAGTCACTGTCTGTTGGAGCAAGACACTTTATCTTGTGTTTACTCAGCCTTCTCATTCCTGCAGAGAGGATGACAATAGAGATCACATGTGGTCAAAACAGGAGGAGTTAAAGCTTTACTGTGATTTGTTTCTAACATGGTTTATCATTTATTGTTCTAGGAAGAAAAAATGAAAATGCCTGTAAAGGAGCTCCTATAACGTGTTCTTTACTAGATAAATTCCCTGAGACAACAGGATGCAGAAGAGGACAGGTACCAAGAGTGTTTCAGTGCTGGGATGGGCACACTTAGTTATTAGGAATAAGGGAATGCTGATGTTTACAAAGAAACAGTTATTCCCTTTTTGAACTCCCTTTTTAATGAAGCATAATTTCGTGTGGTTGATGTCAGAATTGAGGGTGGAAAATGTTCAGTGTTTATCGCTTTGTGAAAAATGGGAGTCCTTATTTTTAGTTCCTTCACAAAGAAATAAGGCAAGAATATAAATTCTGAGTCTTACAAAGCCTCTAATCCAGATTGACAGTAATTTTGTACTGTCACTTTAATGAAGCAATTCCCCCACACCTTGATAAATGGATGAACGGTGTGTTGTATTTTCTGCGCAGATCAAATATTCTGTCATGCACCCAGGAACTCACGTGTGGCCGCACACGGGGCCCACCAACTGCAGGCTCCGAATGCACCTGGGCTTGGTGATTCCCAAGGAAGGCTGCAAGATCCGGTGCGCCAATGAGACCAAGTATGTTTGCTTCCATTGTTTGCCCTCTTATTCCTCACCTCTGAGGATGGATGCTTGTTACAACAAACTATGTTCAGTTAGATTTTCTCTCTTCCTTTGTAACTGAAGTAGCCTGGGGTGGGTGATATTGATCCAGACTCTTTCACCTGTGTCCCTTCTTCCTGCTTTCTGTTAGTCAGGAGATCCTCCCCAGTTCTTGGGCCGCCCTCCTTGGCCATTTCCCCTGAGCAATCTCAGCTAGCGGTGGGCCTTCTTGCTTCTCCTTCTAGATGGACAGACTTGCATGCAGAGTCAGCTAGCTTACACTGAGCCCTGCAAGTATTACACATTGTGCTTATTGCTTTACAACTTGAATTATTCATCAATACCAAGAATCCCCCTCCTGAAGGAAACACCTGCTGAGATTTACATGTTTTGCTCTAGAAGAGAGCGTGGTGCAGTGGAAGCTGGCTGCCTTTTTCAAATCCCAGCTCTGCCGGGTAATCCTGTGTAACCTTGGCCAGTTACTAATCCCTTAGGCCTCAGCCTCCTTACTTAAAGAATTGGCAGTGATACTATCTGCTTTGCAGGATTGTTGTACGGATTAGATGAAATAATGCATACCAGGCTCTTAGCCCAGTCCTAGCATGAGTCGGGACGTGGTGAATGTTAGGGCCCCTTCTCCCCCTGCCTTTTCCTGTCCTAATCCTATTATTCCCTTCACCTGGAGTGCCCTTCTTTTCACCCAACCAGAATAAACCTATTACTATGATCCAGTTTAGTTTCATAAAAAGGAACCTCTCTTCTGACTTCTCAGAGTGTGTATAGTATATATTCTCAGTAATCCTGTTCTTTATCTTCCATTGCTTTTTATTAATTAGTATATGTGAGCTTAATTTGACTGAGCTGTAAGCTCCTAGAGAGCAGAAACCAAGTTGTTGTGTTCTCATGTATTTCTCATGGTCCTTAGTAGAGGTCTGATGGAAGGGAGTGTTGAGAGGACCGTGCAGTTGTTCATGTGGTTGTTGCAAACACCTGCCTGCCCTGGGTGTGGAGCAGCAGCATAGAGTGCTGTGGGAGAGTCAGAGATGAATCCAGCAGGGGCCTTCCCCTACTGGACATGCCCAATCAGAGAGAGAACACAAGCTCGAATGTCATGAATCATAAGAGAGAGAGAGAGAAAAAAGGCTGCAGTGGGGCAATAAGCAGGGAGCTCATTTGCCACTGAGGTTTAGGAATCTTGACAGTAGTGATTTTTAAAGATAGGAAGGATTTGGACATTGAAAGCTGGGAGAGAAGGGCATTCCAGGCTGAAGGAACAGCATCTGCAAAGGCACAAATGTGGCCAAAATTGCAGGCCACGTATGAGGAATATTGAATGATTTCAGCAACCAAGACTGTAGGATACTGTTAAAAGGTAAACTGATGCACATTAAAATTTTCAAGAGTTTTTGTGAGCCACACCAGTTCGAATCAGGCAGCGTCAAACCAAAGACAATTAGGAGCACAACAGGAGCTAGGGGCAAGGTTTTTATAGAGAAGATGCTGAAGCAAAGCAAAAAAATTATTTGACTGGTTATAGCATCAGTGGTTGCCTTATTTGGGAAAGCCTGACCGGCTCTTTGTGATTCATTATTCTTAAGTTTCCGTTTCTCAGATTTGAGTGCATTGATTCTGGCTCAGATTTTGGTTTGCTTATGTAGGCTCCCAAGGTATTGGAGCCACCTCAGTCTAATGGCCTCCTTGTTTAAATACTTTAACAGTGCATATAGAATAAGGTTGGAAAGTAAAAGAGTGGATGAGAAGCTAAATCATACCAAACTAATGGGATCAGACTTTTTTTAGAAAGTTGTTTTGGAAGCCATGGGTAAATCCTATGAGGGCAGATGGAAAGAAGAGTTAGTAGACTGTCACAGTGGCCCACCCATGGAGAGCTAGAATTGGGATGCTGGAAAGAAAGGGAGAATGAAGAGCAGAGGCAAGAGAGATTATGAAGACTGACCGAAGTGCATCTTAAGTGTGGGTGGTATGAGGGAGGGGAAGTCCAAGATGACTGGGCAGTTTCCATTTTGGTCAGTAGGAGGGTGTTGATGCTTTAGCAAATATTGAGAACTAGGGAAGCATGAGACAAGTTCAGGGGAATGGACAATGAGTTCAGTGTTTGTGTATATTTTATTTTAGGTGCTATTGGAACTCAGTAGTGGAAATACTGGTTTTGGCTAGAAATATGTGGAGCTCAGGAGAGAAGTCAAGTCTAGACATAAAGGTGTGAGAGGCAGACTTAGCAGGAGGTTCTAGAAGAAGCTTGAGAATCCATGGACACATCTACATTTAGGAGGCAGAAGAGAAAGGAGAACCAAGAAGGAGATGAGGCAGCAGAGGGCAGAGTTGGGAGGACCATGGGGAGGAATCAGAGACGGCTGCACAGGGAGAGCTTTCTTCCAAGATGGAATGGATCTTGTCAAGCCTTTGGGAACTCAGTTTTGGTCTGCAGGGTCTCTCTGCTAAGGGGAAGATGAGCAGGAACATGGCGGGGGACCCAGGGGACACACAGAGGAGGTAGGGGCATGCTGGGGAAGGCAAAGATGGACAAGGCCAACTCCTGGAAGATCAAGTAAGAAGCATGGGGCAGCAAAGATGGAGAAGAGCACAAGCCTCATTCCTGAGTGCTGTAACCTTAGGGTTTTGAACTTGTTTCTTCTCTCTGTCTCTGTCTCCCTTCCCTCTCTCCCTCCCACTCTCTATTTATTTATTTTTTTAAATCTCTTATCTGTTCTGCTTGTAGATACTTGGAAAGAATCTCTAGATAAAAATTCACTTAGGGACAGGCAGGGAGAGGAAAACGTATGGAACTGATCCCAGTCATCAGAGGCCTGAGGCGATGAGAAGTGCAGGGTGACAGAATGGGTGGGGCAGTCAAGAAGGAGAGCAGGTGGATGGTGCCAGAGCTTAAACCAGAAGCCAGGGAGGGCTCTCAAGGCAGAAGTGATGCAGGGAGACCTGCCCCAGTAGCACAGCCACAGGCGCATCCCCACCCTGGGCTCCTAGCAAACACCTGGTGCCCGTGCTTGACAGTGGAAATGATGACTGCCAGCCTCTGCCCTCAAGTTTAAAACATGATGAGGTTAACGTCTTCACCTGCTGAAGGAGGGAAGGGTTTAAGCCTCAGTTTTGCAACTCGGAGAGTGATCTTGGATAAGAACATTAACTTGGCAGCCCCTCAGTTTCCACTGTGCTGGATGCAACCTACGTCACCTGACAGTCAATACCTGCTGATGACAATAATTTTCAGATGGTGTATTTTGCGCAGGGATTATTGAAAAGTACTTGCCACCCACCTACCTGTGGTTGAGGCAGGGAGGCAATTTTGTAGAGTATGAACTGCTTCAAGTTCCCTCATCCCTGAAGAGCAGGTAAGCGTCAGTGCCTTTCCGCCTCATCGTGATTGCTGGTCAGCATCCTTCTCCATGGCCCTCCTATTGCACCTGCTTTATGTTGCGTCACATTCTTATCCTTAGTAATCCTTAACTCAAGGCTGATTGTGTCAGGCTAAGCACTTCATTACAAAACTAGTGTTTTTCATAAAAGAAATGGGTCAATTAAAGTACTATGTAATGCTTATAGTGAAAATAGCTAGATATCTGAATAGCAGTCTGTTCATAAACTCTAAGGACAGAAAGGCTGTAATATGAAGTCTGGAAGTTTCATGCTGTTATTGTGGAAGTACTGTTAGTGTGGAAAGAGAAGCACAAACACCAAGAAATCCAGCTTCCTGTGCTAGGCAACAGGAAGCAATTTTCCAGAGCTGCTCAACTTCCAAAAGAGTAGGTTACTTGTAGCAATTTGTGCGTTGTAGTTCTCAGGTAATAACAATCACGTTGCTGTTTCTCCAGCGCTGTGCGATTCCCACTAGCGTGCATATTGTTAAATATTCCATCACTGCAAACATAGCACAGCTCTTTTTATCTGAAGATGAGCTTGCAAATAAGCAGCCTTCCTTTACTATAAAGAAAATGGGCATTTGAAATTAATATATGCTTTCCAATTACAAAACTGATGCATGTTCCTTATACATAATTTGTAAAACACAGAGAAATGCAATGAAAAAGTAAGTATTATTTTTGATCTCAGTACTCAGATGTTGCCCAGATGCTTCTCAGTGCCTATATATGTATGTTCATGATGATGATGATGATGATGATGGTGATGATGGTGATGATGGTGATGATGGTGATGATGGTGATGATGATGGTGAAGAAGAACACAGTGATAATATATATTGTGCTTACTATGTGCAAAGCACAGTTGTCAGCACTCTACATACATTAACTCATTAACCCTCACACCAGTGGTATGGGATTATTAAAATCTTTATTTTATAGCCGAGGAGACTGAGATATAAAGATGCTAAGTAACTTCCCCAAGGTCACTCAGCTTAGTAAGTGTTGGATGTTTGTATGTTTCCTAGGGCTGCCAAATTGCTACAAACGGGATGACTTGAAACGCCAGAAATGTATTCTCTTGTAGCTTTGGAGGCCAGAAGTCTGAATCAGGCATCAGGAGCGTGGGTTTCTTCTAGCGCTCTGAGGGAAAATCCGTCCCTGGCTCTCTCCTGGCTTCTGGTGGCTGCCGGCATTCCTTGGCTTTCTTGGCTGCTAGATGCATCAGTCAATTTCTGCCTCTGTCGTCACATCCCCTTTTCCCTGCCTTCTCCCTTCTCCTTTATAAGGGTACTTATCACTGGATTTAGGGCCCAACCTAATCCAGGATGATCTCATCTCAAGATCTTTAAATTAGTTACAACTGTGAAGACCCTTTTTCCAAATAAAGTTACACCCGCAGGTTCAAAGTGGACATACTTTTTGGGGGGCCACCATTCAATCCACTAAAATATTGGAACCAAGCTTTGCTCCCAGGCAGTCTGGCTTGAAAGTCTGTGCTCCTAGTCTCAATCCCATAGCCCTGCTATGTATAGGTTTTTGGGCTTTTGGAGTTTTGTTGTCGTTACCAAAATTAGGATC